TCTAGTGGAAGTTCTTCACAGATGATTTCCTCTGATGTCATCTCCAGTGGAATTTCTTCACATATGATTTCTTCTGACGTCATTTCTAGTGGAAGTTCTTCACAGATTATTTCTTCAGATGTCATATCAAGGGGCATTTCCTGAAAGGACATTTCAAAGGTTTCTTGGTTTTCTAGTGGTAATTCCTGAACTGACATTTCATGCATCATTCCCCCTCCTCCTGATATTCCCATCATTTGCATCATTTCTTGTGAAACTGACTCTAGACGTCCACCTTGCATTCTAAATACTCCTCCTTCTTTAAGCATAAACAGCTGTCCATCTTGAAGTTGAATTTGTTGCCCATCCCTTATTTGAAATACTTGACCACTAATGATCTGGATATTTTCCCCTCCAACGGCCATGTCAATCATCTCTTGAGTTAAGCTATCTTGAGATATGGATTCTATCATACCTCCATTTATTTGGAAAACCTGTCCACTTTTCATTTGAAAAAGTTGGCCGTCTGAAATTTGTATGTTCTGGCCGTCTAATAACTGATAAGCCTGTCCATTGGACAACTGAATAAAGCTGCTGATGATGATCTGAGAGCTCTGAGAGCCAAGTAACACAAGCTCTATTGCTCCATTTTGCATTTGAAAGATTTGTCCGGATTCGATTTTAAAAGGTTTTCCAGCTTCAATTTCAAGCTGTTGCCCATCAATCACTTGGTATGCCTTTCCACCTTTTATTTGCACTGATCTTCCATCGATAACTTCCATTTCTGATACCAATTCTTCGTTCCACATGTCAATAATTCCGCCTCGCATCTGAAACACTTTTCCTCCTCCTCCCAACTGAAACATTTGGCCATCTTGGATTTGAATTAACTCCCCATTCACCGACTGAAAAACTTGGCCGTTGGAAAGAGATACCAAGTCCATGCTAATAACTTGTGATTGCACATCAAGTGGCATTGTCTGTGTTATAGTTTGTGTTGCGCCGTACTGACCTTGTTGTAACATCGCCATTTCAATTGTACCAGAGCGTATTTCAAAGACTTGTCCTTCTGGAAGTCGGAATGGCTGGCCTTCTGGTACTTCATTTTGCTGCCCATCAAAGACCTGATAAGCTTTCCCAGAAAATATTTGCACAGTACTACCGTCAATAATCGATATACCAGGGGATATCTCTTCGGTCCACATCTCAATARATCCACCTAACATTTGGAATACCATGTCTGCTCTAATCTGAAACAATTGCCCGTCAAAAATCTGCGTTTTCGCACCATCTAGGTCTTGAAAAGCTTGCCCGTTTGAAATTGTAACAAAATTAGTGCTAATTATCCCAGACTGCATTTCGTATGGCATCTCCTGAGTTATCATTTGGATAGAACCACCATCTTCAATCATAGACAGTTCAACTGTTCCATCGATCATAACAGCTCCTCCTTGAATTATTTGCCCATCGTTAGATACAAGCCCTTCTGGAGATAGCTCCAATGGCATTGACGTGACTTCAAGTTCTTCAACAACCGTATCCGCCATAATTAATGGCGAAAGAAGGAGAGGGAAGACAAATTATCCTCTTCTTCTATGGTAGTCTTATTCAGCACAAGGTCTATGTCCAGGCGATAAGTTTTCGAATTCTGAGGTTAACCAAGACTGGCAGTTTGCCTTTCCTTCTGCATTTTATACACAAAGCTCTCATTTGAGACTTGAATGTTATATTCATGCCCTTTATCATGTGTGAACCAATAACATCTTCCGAAAAAGAAGAAAGAAAAATAACGGGTAGCAACGATATTAAACGATATATAAACTCAGTCCTTGGTAATTAACAATGTCAATCATCTTTGTCATATAAATATAACTAAAATTTCATTTTCCCTTTTACACAGTGTGGTTCTATGCTACTTAATTTAGTTGAAAATCCTCTTAAGTAAATTTGAGAGTCTTAATGCTAAATAGGGCTTTGCTGGGATTTAACCACTAGATTAAAGACTTCGTGAAACTCTAACAATTGAAGAAAGTTCACGAAAAGGCCCAACTTAGTTGTTATTGAAAATACATATTTGCAAAATATATTTGCATATGTATTGCGATGTCATGGAAGCAACTGGAAGCATATAAAATGTCGTTAGTATACCATCCAAAATTCAATGTCATTACAATTTGTCATTAAATTCATTTWAAAAAATTATATATAAGTTAAGGTTCTCACTGCATCAAACTTATAGTGCTTTGTCCACAGCTAGTGGTTTTGTTGTTTTTCTATATTTAGAGTGGTGTTTAAAGTCGAGCAGGTTGCACTGGGTTTTAATGGTTACCAGACACTCGACAAGTAACAGAATAACATATACCAGTATTTCAGCAGACAAATTAAGCATTTTCAAAATGTCAAAAAATTACACGAAAATTTGCACACTGGCCAAGTTTTTTTATGAGTATTAAGGCTTGCAGGGGTTTTGATGTTCTTTTACAAATGGAATGTTCTAAATCGATCAATGTAACTCTGCGTTTGTTGCTCTTAGGGCCTTTTTAAGGACGCTGTTTAATTATTAAGAAGCGTCAGCCACAAGAGCCAAGTTTTACCAGTTGTATTCTATTATTCGTGGCTAAGTGAACTCCATTTCCAATATTCAAATTGAGGCCAAATGCTAAATAAACTTGTCTAAATGAACATTGTGGTATCGCAATGACAACGTTTCGTAGATTCTAAATTTTTCGATTTACTTCGTCAGCATAATTACTTTGGATAATAGTTATTTTGAGCTACTAGTCCTTAGTTGCAATTCTTGAAAATGTCACGACAATAATACTGCCTTTCTGTGTGAATTAAAATGCTAGGATTCAATCTCTAAATCTTTGAATTCTTTTGAAACATTAATTGCAACTTGACATAAAGCCAAGAACAAAGGCAAAATTAGAAAAATTGAGCCATGATATATGGCATATAAACTAAACTATTGCATGATATTGTTAATATGAAAAATAAGATGGTCTGTTCCATTCCTTCTTTAGTTGTGAAATTCTTCTCATTTTCACTTGTATTTTCTGATTTACTCATTTTCAGATATTCAGATTTTCCAGTTTGGTCATTGCTGCTTTTTCTTCTTCATCACTGTATATTTAATAAGATTGTATTAGGCATGCAGTTACAGTTACCGGGCGATAATATTGCATCATACCACAATGAAACAACTTTATTTAGTTTAAGATTTTATTGCTGGTTTCATTTTTCAAAACGCTTTCAATCCTGACGTCACCGAGCTTTTGACACTACTAAATGTAATCATTTGATGACGCCTTAGTATGTGTGGTTGCAAATATTTAGCATAAATAAATGAATTCAATTTTGAATAAAAGCATAATATCTTTTGGTTCTTTTGTTAACTACGTTGTTACTCGGGCTTCCGCAGGAACCCCAGTATAAAAATGCAGCCCGTTCTTTTTCGTCGTATTTGGTCGCCAAAATGGGGGTCACGGTCCCAGGCGTTCCTACCTGAGTCGCTGGGAACTGGGGATGAGAATCATAACTGCATGCTAATCAATGCAAATCTAAACCCTGTTTTCTTCGTTCCTTCTGCTTCGGTTCGTGGGATAATAAAGTTGTTGCGTGAAGAAATCTTTGGAAAGTGCTATGCCTTATATGATCATCCCACATACAACCGCACTCGCCATTCGTGGTAGGCCCACACTAAAAGATGTAGAGCTTTTTCGGAACGGGTCGGTCCACGAATYTTATAGCTTGAAAGCGTTGAAATCTTTGAAAACATGTAAGCTTACTAGCCAAATTCATACTAGTTATCACGAGGTAACAAATGAGCTATATTCGACACAAACCTCGACAACACTACAAAAACTATGACTAGTGACTCAACAGAAAACTATGACGTTGAAATGAACACCTTAGATGTTGAAATAACAGAAAATCTCCTTGAGCAGAACCTCGAAGGTCAAGCAAACAACAACAAGCAAATCGCCATATTGGATAAAGAATATAATAAGCGAAGCAACTTGAAAAGTAAATATCTAAGTTTAACTTTCTTGATAAATATCCYGATTCATTTCTTTGCTTTTGTTGTATTCAATAGTCGTAAAATACGATTTGATTTTGCACAAATAACCATTTGTGTTTATATCGTACAAGCGATTGTGAACATTAGTTTGGTTTACGTATGGAGTCGCACGTGCTTAGTAAAAGACGTGGTAAATACTCTTGGTGTCTGTAACATGCTAGAAAACGTTATCCATTCTACAAATGTACATGAACATAATGATGTTTTAGTGTCAATAAAGGTACAAGAATTCAGATATCGTTATGCTAAGTATGTATTTCATAATTGTCATGTTGAATGTGATAGTCATGGCTCTAGACGCGATCATGAACCAAGCAGGGTACCAGTGAACAGATTAAAACGTGTCTTTCAAAAAAACAGAAAACTAAGGAGTTATGTATGCAGAAATTTAAGTAAAAACACGCCTAAGTCATCGAAAGTTCATTGTCTTATTAAAAATATTGCAACGAAAAAAAGAAGTATGTGGTACAAACCAGGTATCAGATTTGTACAAAAAATGAGAAGGAAACCAATATTTAGAACAGGAAAACTTAACTCTTCAATGAGATATGTTTACAATTCCAGGAGAGAAAAATATAGGGATAAATGTCTCAAATACATAAGGTGGTTTTCGTGTAATTTCCCATATAGTGAGTATAAGGGTTTAGATCATAAAAGCAACTGTGCAAATTACAAGCTTTTTAATGATATAGAGAAAAACCCAGATCCAGCTGTCACCCACCATGTTGATGCTAGTAAAACAGTAAGTGCTGCATATAGTCAAGGGGATGTTGTTACATTTGGAGAAAATGCCGGGCAACAATGTGTTGCAATGAGTTTATATGCTTTAATTTATCACCAAATGAAAGGGATAACCAACTCTGATAACTTAAAACAAATCATGCATATTGGGGTTCAATTGTTTTTACTGTTAACAGAATTACCGGCAATGCTTACAGTATTATAAGTAAATTACCAGCTAGAATACAGCAAAAGTTGCGAAAGGTACACTGGTGATGTTCATGGTGAGTCTACCATTGAAGGAAATCAACATTGCATGGGCATGAAAAGAACTTTTGAATCATTGCTAACTGAACAATGCAGCTCATTTATTCTAACAGTTGGTTGTATTGCTGTCGGCATTATTTACTGTACTGATAAATGTCATTTAAAATGTTTGACTCTCATGCTAGAGATGTTTATGGTAAGAGTCATCCTCAAGGGACATGTGTATTGTTAGATATATCATCTATAGAGAATTTAGTGGAATTGACTTTCAAAGTTTATATGGATTCTGATTGGAAAAGCAGTTCTACTAGTAATTGGTTGACAGAATACTGCAATTTTTGTAACACAAACGTACCGTGACTTCACACGCCAGAAGAAGCCCGAGTACACGATCATGGATCGTCTAGTTTATTTAGAATTCTTGTGGTAAAAAATTATCATGCAATTTATCATTTTATCATTTCTTTTTCTAAAAAAACTATATAATGTTAAATAAAGGTTTGTGAAGGTCTTGTTAAATGTAGCATGTTGATCTTGTATGTTGCAGTCACATTCAACATGCTACAAACCTTTCGTCAACCTTTAATTTCTGAAATAACTGTATACCAGTTGATCTACAAAATAACAACACAAATATGACATTTTATAAATATATAAGTGCTATACTATAGTGTTTTGGAAATAATGTTTATAAACTACACGTAATTAAAGTAGCATTTTGAGTGAGACTGGTTATTATATTATTCTATAAAAGTTACTTTAGATACTTTTGAATATCAAGTTGCAAGCATAAGTTTACTGTGTTATTTATATATATTTAAATAGCCTGAGATTAAAACGCAGATACCAACTCGAAAAGCTGCATAACCTCAATATAACATCATTTGTTATTCTTCGATTGCGCGTTCCGTCATCGCGGCTATGTTGGTGCCATTTAACGAAAGATTTCACATTAGCATCCATTGTTAACGGCACCAGAATGGCCGCCATGTTTTTGTTTTCGAACTCTCTTGGGAATGCTTGCAACCCATCAATTGGTAACAACGTAAAAAATCGTAATCAGATATTCTTGATTTAGCCGTTCTGCGAACGAGTGAAGTAGTATCCCTTAGTATATACTTWTTTGTTTATTACAGTATTTTTCTCGTTAAAAGCTTTCTTACTTTCGTTATTAAGTGTTTATACTATTTGATTGCGGTCTAACTCAAACAGACCAGCTTCATCACACAGTTCACCGAAAACTGATTCGTAATACTTCTTTGTCTCTAATAGCTGATGAATCTGTTGATCTTTTTYTTGTAGAGTATGAAGTATTGCGTCGTCTTGGATCCCTGTTGAAGGCGACTTGTACTCCGGGACAGGAAGCGTAAGATCTACCACATCCTATTAAAATCAAACCGAAATTTAAATAAACTTGGGAACCGGACTTTATTAGAGGGAGAGAGGGCTGGTGCAAGTAGCAAGAACCCAATCTAATTTTCATACTAAAAAATGGTTTTAAAAATAGAAATTACTATGAGTAAAGTGAAGTTTATGAAAAGGAAAGTCATTTCCCAAGAAAAAATGTGCTTGCTAAAATATATGCACCAATGTTCGCCAAGCTACGGCGCGCAAAGGCGGAYCTATGACCTTCAAAAGAGCGGGAAGCATAGCTCCCGACACTCCCCAAAATTCGCCATGGGAGTTAAGATGATATAATAGGCCAGTTGTATAACAAATGATTTGTTTAAATAAATCAATGGTTTTCAATTTAAGTTATCCATATCTATCAAAAGCGATAAACGTTACGGAAAAAGAAAGCAATGATAGTAAAGGAATTTGTCTATCAACCTGAGGATTAGTAAAATATTTCACCACAAATTAATATTTTTTGAAAGTCTTTTACTCACCGCCTTTGGGATCTGCTCCTGAATTCTTTTAATTTTTTCAGCCTAAATTTTAAGAAAGATAGTAGTTTAAGATTGATTGGGAAATATTTTAAGATTGGTTTGGAAATATATACATGTTATTTTTCCACAGTTATACAGACACACAAAAAAAAAACCATTTTCCCCTTATCCATTTCTGTTGTAGTAGACGGTGTTTACCTTTAACTTTTCAGTCTCCATCATCTCTTGAAAGTTCATTTCCATGAACTTTAGCTTTTCGTTAAGTTGTTCAATGTCGATTTCATGTTTGGCGTTTTGTGAAACAAGTGACACATTCTCCTGTTTCAACATGCGCACCGTGTTCTCAATGCGGGGACTGGGTTCCTGACAAAATACAAACAAAAGTATTGAAATTATTGGCAATTTCGAGATCCAAATACAGCCGTGTTCCTTGATTACAGACTCAGGGTTAGCTTCGAATCAGTGTCTACAACGGTATGCTAAATAAAGAATGCACAATTTCATCAATACAAACACTTTGAAATTCCACGGACCTTTACTGGAACACATGAATATTCTGTACAAAATCGAGGATAAAACTGAGCAACAGAGAAAGCGAAAGTGGATTATTAGCTAACAGATTAAAAACAAAAATTTAGGTGTCTTAATGATTTTTGTTTTTGAGAAAGAAAGATAAAAGATAAATGTATACTACAACGTTTCTGCAATCGAGTGTATATATATATATTTATTTATTTATAGTACAATGCAATAACTAACTCGTCTTGTGTTCTATTTATAAATAGGGATCGCTCATTATTTATTGCCTGGGGGAGGGGCTTTGAAGAGGAGATTTTAAGGTATGAGCGAAAACTATCACGGTAGTGGACAAAGATGTCGTTTGAACCACCACAGAGCGCTACAAAGATCATTGTTTGTCAAATCTAAATCCTCGAACACGGTACCGTCACGTTCACAGTAAGGTACGACTATACGGTGATTTTTTACAGTCTTAAAAGATTTTCTCTATATAAATTAGCTTACTAGCTGAAAAATGAATTTTTTAAGCGAGAGCTACTTACCCCAAGAACTGGACTCGTTGATCGGCTGACTTTGGAATCAATTGACTTGTTTTGCTTTTCTTTTTGTAATTGTGTTTCAAACCTCTTTCTCAACTCTTCYTTTTCCTTATGTAGGTTATTCTCGAGCGTTTCTTTTTCCCGCTCGAATTCTTCTTCAAGAGCAGCTTTTTCTCTTCTAAACTGCGCCTTCATTTCCMAGCGCTGTCTTTTCAACTCCTCGTTCTCAATCTGTAGTTCTTTTACTTCTTCTTCAAGTGGTTTTCTTTCTCTCTCAATCCTTTGAGTCATCTCTCCTTCAAGCTTTGACAACACTTCTAGTTTATAGTTCGCAATGCTTTTCTCGATAACATGTCGTTCGGCTGAATGAGTTTCCTGATTATAAACCCGCTCTTGTATGATTTTCCTTTTTTCTTGAAGATTCCCCACTTCTCGTCGAAGTCCCTGTAAGGTGTCTTCAAACCTTTGTTTCTCAATAGCTAGCTTTTGTTCATATTCCATTTCTATTCCCTTTTTGATGACTTTCACCTCTCTTGTAATCTCTTCGATTGAACCGTCATTTACAGACTTATTATTCAAACTTTCCTCAGCTTTTAAATATTCATTCCGTAGCTTTACTTCTAGCTCTTTTTTCTTTGCTTCTGCTCGCTCAAGAGCTTCTTGTAACTCCTTGATAACGGCTTCGTATTTCCCTTTCTCGCTCTCAATTTCTTTTTCACAATCTTGCTTTAATTTAGAAATCAACTCATTTTTACTTCTTTCCATATTTTCCTGGATTTCAATTCTTTCTTTCTCAGCTATTTCCTCGATGTTTTGTTTCTCCACTCTATATTGTTGCCTCATTTCCTTTCTCTGGTGCTTAAGTTTTATTATCTCTTTCAACAAATTCTCGATAGTTGACTCCATTTCTTGTTTTTCTTTTTCATGCTGTTTAGTCTCTTTCTGTTTTTCATTTTCAAATTCTTCTAATAGTTGTAATTTTAGGTCTTTGAACCTTTCTTCTGCCTGTGCCATTTCTTTTTCGATCTCTTCAATCTCATTTSTGTGATCTTTTAGTACTTTATTAARAGACTCCTGAAAATCATTCTCGAGATCGATATTTTTCTGCAGCTCGTCACCATAAATACTCTTTTCTATTTGAGTCTTCAATTCTGTTTTCTCTTGCCTGAACTGGACATTCATTTCTGCTTTCTCTGTTATCATTTGGTCCTCTAATTTGTCGCGCAGCAGGTTCAAAATCTTCTCATGGTCTTCATCTTTTTGACGCATCTGTTCTTCGAACYTCTTATGAAGCTTATCATTTTCCTCCTTTAAGGAATTTCTTAGTTCTATATTCGCCTTCTCAGCCTTCTCCTTCATATCTTGTAACTCTTGCTTATGAGTGTTGTGCTTCCTTTCATAGTCTTCAGATTGTTCTTCAAGATCTTTTTGAAATCTTCTCCTCTCTCTTTCAAGATCCTTTTCAAAATCTTCTATCTGTCTTTCTTTTTCCTTCTTGAGCATTTCGTCATAATCGTTTTTCAGCCTTTCTAGAGCTGCTCTCTCCAGTTCGAGTTTATTGTTTAGAAGTTCAATCTCATGCTTTTTATCACCTTCAAGTTTTGCCTTTTCAATTTCCAGAGACTTWATTGCGTCTTGGTACTTTTGCAGAGCATCTTTCGTGGATTCTTCTGACAAATCTAACTGCTCTTTTAATGATTCGTTCCTCATTTTTAATTGGGCTAATATGTCGGCATCTTTTTCACTGGTTTCATCAGTACTTATGTTATCAAGACTTTGTCCTGAATCATTTGATTTGAATTTATCAAGCTGTTCCTGGGTCTGTTTCAGCTTTTCTTCGAGCTCATGATAAAGTGCAAGCTGCTCCTGTAGTTTTACTTCCACCTCTTCTACCCCTTTGTCCTCTGCAATCGCAGCATGTAGTTCAGAAGCAAGGGACTCTCCTTTTAATTCTGAAGTGTCGAGAAGACCATAATTGGACAGCGTATTCTCGTACGCCTTGATTACATCTTCGAGTTTTTCATTCCTAGCCTTCATTGTCCTTAGTGCATAAGGTCGCTTGTCTTCCTTCTCAAGTTCCTCAAAAGTTTTGTTGTCTAATTCTTTTATGCCACAAATGAGTTGCATTCCAATTTTATCATATAAAGGTTCGGGTAAGAGTTCATCAGCGTTTTGTTTCTCAGCATAATCTTGTATTTGTGTTGGTGATGTCTCATTAGGCTTGCATTGGCTTAACTCATTTATCACTACAAGCTCGTTGTCCTCTTTTGAGTCTACATTTTTATCTTCTTTCCTTTCGCTCTCATCCACCTCTGCAGACTTCTTTTGGTCTGAGCTGTCCAATGAAGCTATCGCTTTCTCGTTCTGGTCCTCATAGATCTTCAGTACCTCTTGCAGAGTGATGTTTTTCTCTTCCATTTCCTTTACTGCAGCCATTGTTTCAGTTGCATCTTTCATCTTATCGTCTTYCCCCCCAGTTTCGGACGACTTGGTTTTATCACGCAAATCCATTATCTGCTTACTAAGCTGAGGGCCTATTTTTTCGGTCAATGCATCAATGCGTTTGTTGAGTACTTTGTTTACTTCCTTAAGTCCTTTTATTGCATCTTCATRATCGTTAACAGCGTCTAACATAGATGCTCCCTCTTCACCTTGACCTGCTATCTGCTGTAGCACTGCTTTTTCTCGTTCTAACTTTTTCATGTTTTCTTCGTATTCTTCCACAACTTCGGCGAGAGTCTTATTTTCTTTTTCCATAATCTGCAGTGCCTCAATATGGTTATCACCATCTTGTTTCATCAAGTCGTCCAGGAAATCTTGTCGTAATGTTTGTGCAAGTTTTTCCAGAGTTGATCGTAAGTCGTTGATTTCATTTTGAAGTTCAAAGTGTTTGTCTTCAAAATTGTTTTCCGCTTCTTTGTTCGCATTTTCGAGCATTGTTATTTGGTTTTCGTACTTTGATATAATTTCTCCCAARTCTACTCCATCTCCTGATACACCCTCAAGCACCTTTTTCAGTGACGCATTTTCTTTCTCCAGTACTTCAAAGTCATTTTCATTATCTCCAAGGACAGCTGTTAAGGACTTGTCTTCTTCCGCCATTTTGTTTACTACATAGTATTTTGAATTAAGAAAAGGTTTCTTGCTTGACTGCTCTTTTGGCTTTTCTTCATTTTCAGAGTCTATTTTTCCTTCTACTTTTTCTCCTTCTCCCTCTTGTCTTTTGAGTTCGCAAAGTTCCTTAAATAGYTGTGATCCGATACATTGTTCTAGTTCTTCTTGAGTATTAGTCATCTCTTTAAGATTATTTTCGTACTCTATAACAACGTCCTCTAGTGTCCTTTTATCCCTCGCCATCATCACTGGTGCTTCTAAAATTGGATTTTCCGTTCCAACTTCTGCTACGTCTTCCTTGGGTGTGTCTTTTTCAACTTCATGTTGCCGTAAGGATTTGGCGTCAAGCCCATCGTACTCGACCATATCCACGCCGTTCTTATACAGCAACTGGTTTACGAGGCCTTTRCCTATTTTGGAATTTAAATTATCCAGCCTCTGTCTTAAACTTTGGTTTTGTTTTTGAAATATCTCAATCTGATCACTGTAGGGTAAAGATTCGTCTGTAGTAGGTTCCTTTTCTTGTGCTTGCGTCGATGCAACAACTCCAGGGTCATACCTGATTAACACGTCTTCAAGAGTTCTTCCTTCGTCTAGTAATTTTAAACACTCGTCAATTTTTGAAAGTTTTATTTCGTTTTCATTTTCTTTGTCATGAACCTCAAGAGGGCTACCTTCTTCAGCGCTCTGATCATCTACATTGGACTTCGCTTGACCTTGCTCACCTGCTTCAATAGGGGGGAAATCTCTGGATAAAATAGCTTTAGAAAGATAAGGACCRAGACTGGATTCATATCTTTCAATATTATTTTCATATCGTTTGATAACTTCTTCTAACGTTTGAGAATTTTCCTCCATTTGATCTATTGCGGCAAGATCATCTATTTCTTCACCAGCAGTTTCATTGCCCAACATGTTATCCTTTTCGTTTTCTTCTACCTCAACTTCTTTGACGTCGTTCTCTACCACTTGATCTTCACCTTTTCGTCTTTTCGTTTTATTTTCATCCATAGTTTCCAAATCCAATCTCATAATCTTTCCGTCTTCGCCGCCATCACCACTAAGATCTTTAGATACGTTATATGAATCTGAGTCCATAGTCAACAGACATTTTGATAAATTGCTGCCCAATTTGGAAGTGAGGACATCTAGCTGATTGTGCAATGTTTTCAAAATATCTTCTAGRCTTTCATCGTTATCTCCATTCAGTAAGGGAGAGATTATCCTCTGTAACTCCTCCGACTCTTGAAACTCTGATTGAGCAGGACATTCCTCCTCAGATGCTTCCATTTCGCCTTGGTCCCCCCTCTTTTCAGTTTTCTCGTGTTGTTCTCCTTCTTCTKTTCGCGTTTGTTCTTCTGAAACACTATATTCATCATTAAAGTGATTCGTTTTTGTATCCAATCCTTGTTTTGCTTCTTTGCTTGGTTGGTTCTTTGTCCTTTTGTTTTCTTCATCTACGTCCGATGAACTTGATGTCTTGTCAGTTGGCTTTACTTTATCGTTTAAAAGAAGTTCAAAAAGATTAGGCCCAAGTTCCTTCTTTAGTACAGAAAGATCATGTTCGTAGTTTTGAGTGACGTTTTCAATCTCATCACTGCAGGGCAAGGATTCGTCTTTAATAGAAAGTCGGTTTTCATCTCCTTTCGTCGATGTCACAACAGCATCTATTGGGTCATATCTGATTAACACATCTTCAAGAGTTCTTCCTTYATCTAGTAATTTCAAATACTCGTCAAGTTTCGAAACTTTCATTTCGTCTTCATTTTCTTTGTCATGAACATCAAGAGGGCTATCTTCTTCAGCGCTCTGATCATCTACATTGGATTTCGCTTGACTTTGCTCACCTTCTTTAATCGRCAAAAATTCTTTGGTTAATATAGCTTTAGAAAGATAAGGTCCGAGAATGGATTCATATMTTTCAAGGTTATTTTCATATCGTTTGATAACTTCTTCTAACGTTTGAGAATTTTCCTCCATTTGATCTATTGCGGCAAGATCGTCTAGTTCTTCACTAGCAGTTTCAACGTTCAACATGTTATCCTTTTCCTTATCTTCGGCCTCAACTTCTTTAAAGACTTTCCCTCCCACTTGATATTCACCTTTTTCGCGCTTGGTTTCATTTTCATCTATGATTTCCAGATCCAATTTTCTATCTTTGCCTCTATCATAACTAAGATCGTTATCTTTAGCTACGTTGTAAGAATCTGAGTCCATAGTCAACAGACCTTTTGATAAATTGCTGCCCAGTTTGGAAGTGAGGACATCTAGGTCATTGTGCAATGATCTCAAAATATCTTCTAGGCTTTCATCTTTATCTCCATTCAGTAAGGGAGAGATTATTCTCTGTAACTCCTCCGGTTCTTGAAATTCTAATTTAGCAAGGCTTTCCTCCTCAAATTCTTTCGTTTCGTGTCGGCGCCCCTGCTTTTTAGTTTTCTCTTGATTGTGTTCTTCACTTGTTTGCCTTTGTTCTTCTGAAATGCTGTCTTCCTTATTTGAGCGATTTGTTTCTCTTTCCAATCCTTTTTTCTCTTTGTTTTCTTGGTTCTTCTTTGTTTCCTCGTCTTCAACTTCATCCGATAACTTTTGAATATTATTAGCCGTTGAACTAGTTTTATCGTTTAAAAGAATGTTAACCAGATTAGGCCCAAGTGCATTCTTTAGAACAGAAAGATCATTTTCGTAATTTTGAATCACGTCTTCAAGTGTAGCATTTTCAGCTTYCATCAACTTAGGAGCCATGAAGGTTTTTGGGTATAAGCCACTTGTACTAACATCATCTTCTGTGCTTCTTTCTTTCTTTTGAACTTCACATTTGACCTCTTGAATTGCAGCATCGTCAACAATAGTTTCTTCCGCATCCAGAATTCCTTTCTTCTCTTTTTCTGAAAATGGGCGTCCKGTTTTTTCCTCAGAAGCAGGGTGTGTCATTTCCATATCTTTAGATTTCCTATCACCAAACTCTTTCTCTTTTCTTTCCTCTTCTTCTTTTGCTTTTTCCAACTGATCTTCTCCTAAAAGGATCTGTGTTAAATTTGGGCCAAGCTTCTCTTTCAAATCTTTAGACTCTTTTCTCAGTTTTTTGACTGCATCTTCTAGTGTCGCATTATTTTCAAACATGTCCAAGTAGTAATCCTTTTCTTGCAGTTTTTCATTTCCTTCTCCTTTCTTTTCGTCGTTGGATTGGCACTCATCTTGTGCATCAGGCTCTCCATAATTGGCATCGTCCATCCTGCTGTTAATTTTATTGGATTCAATCTTTCCAATCTCTTTCTTCGTGTCTTGGTTGAAATCTTTATCGACTTTGTTTATTCTTAGTTGTTCATCCTCGTCATCTTTTCTCGTGCTTCTCTTCCCCCCAGCTTCAACTACAGCTTTTGCTAAGTTTGGTCCCAATATAGAATTAAACGTATCGAGTTCTTTCTCATACGTTTCAATGATATCTTGGAGTGTTGCTCCTTGCTCAGCCAAAAGAATTGGCGCCTTTAACTGTTTCTTAATTTGGCTTGCTTGATTTTCGTTTTTCTTCAAGTCTAGAGCATCGTTAAGGTTTCTAGTGGACAAACCAGCCTGAGAATATTCATCTAAATCCTTTTTTCCTGGACTTAACTCTTCGCCTTTTTGGAGCGTAACGCCGCTTACTATTGGACCTTGTTGCACATTACTGTCTTGAATGGCTTCTTCGATTTCTCTTTCTGGTTGTTCAATGCTAGCTTCTGCATTTTCAATATCTTTTTCGGTTTTCTTTGTTAACTGTGTTCCACTCACTCCATCATCATTTACATTGTCCTCAAGACAGCAAGGCATATGACTTGCTTTAGCTGCGCCATCTTTGGTTTCGGTCTCTAAAACATACTGAAATAGTTCAGGTCCAAGTTTCGAATTCAGTGTCGCCAAATCCTTTTCAAAGTCTTGAACAACTTCTTCTAATGTTCTATTTTGTGCCAACATTTCTTCTACAGCCTTCAACTGTAAACCCTTAATGTCTTTTTCCTTAGCTACGATCTGTTTTTCTTTCTCTTGATTCGCTAGTTGTTCTTTGGTACCTTTTTCCTCAATAGCATTTATGTCAGAATCTTCACTTAATGTTTCTTCCTTCTCTTCAATGGCGATATCGGCTGAAGTCCTTTCTTCCTTTCCTTTGTGCTCTTTGTGGGCTCCTTTGACGTTTTCATCCTCCTTCTCCTTCAAAATTACATCTAATTTGTGTACTTTTTCCGACGCTTCCAGCTTTTTAGGGTTCAAACGTTCTCCCCTTTCATCAATCCTTTCAATTTTTCCAGTTTTTATGATATCTTTGTAAAGTTTTGGACCAATTCGTGACTTCAAGGCACCTAGTTCGTTTTCATAGCCACACATTATTTCATCGAGCCTTTTCCCTTGAGCTATCATTTCTGGAGCTTCTAGCTTTTGAGTTGTGATGTTTTGCTGGGGTTCTTGATCGTCTTTGAAATCCTTGTCGAAATCACCTGCATTTCTCCCTTTCTCATGTTTGAGTTGTTCAATTTGTATGTCATTAACTTCAGCATCTTCTAACGCTTCCTGTGGCTGGCTTTCTAAAATAACTTTGCCAATTTCTGCCTTCCAGTTTGCAGCTTTTTGGCCTTTTTCATCTGTTGTCTCTTCTAAGTAATCCATTTCCGTTTTAAAATCTTCTTTCCCCAGCGTTAAGGTTGGTTCATCGCTGCTTTTGTTGATTCTTTTCTTTGCCCTTAATATGGCATCACACAGTTGTGGCCCAAGACTTTCTCTCAAATCTCTAAGGTCGTTTTCGTAGCTCACAACCACTTCCTCCAGTGTTTTATTTTCTTCTAACATTTGTTTAGGGGCAATTAGGTCAAATTCTTTTAATGGTAATTCGGAACCACTATTATCAATGCTYGTTATCGCACTTTCTCCACTTTCTGGGCTTTTTGCTTGTGTCGTAGGTTGATCTTTTTCTCTTTCATTGAACTCATCATAGTATTTTCCTTTTGCTTCGTGGTCGAGGTCACATGGATATTTCCTCTCCGTATCAGTATATCGTGCGGACTTCTCAAGAGCAGGATTGGTTAATTCTATTGTGCYAGGCTCTTTCTTTGGATTAACTGTTTTACTATCATAACCATCCTTTGCTATTTCTGCTGTACCCTGCTCGCCATCATACTGCCCTATCTCYAAGAGATGTTTAAAAAGCTTTGGACCAAGTTTTGACTTCAAAGCTTCTAAATCGTTTTCATATCGTTCAAGAACTTCTCCAAGTGTTTTTCCTTCCTTGGACATTATTGATGGAGCACTTAACTTAAGCTTGTCATCCACAATGGTTTCATTTTTACTACCTTCTTTCTCGATGTTAGGTATGTTAAATGATTCGTACAATTCGCCATCGCTAAGATAGGTTTCTCCTTCGCTCATACTATACTCTGGATCTTTTTCCTGGTCGTTTTCATTGATATTCTCTTCATGCCCAACATCTTCTTCCATTGAGTCACTCTTAATTTTACTGTCATCGAGTCTTGATGTCCATGGCTGTTTTTCTGAGAGCACATTACGTTTTTCTGTCCTATCAAACGATTCTTGCTTAGGTTCTTCATCACCGATATTGCTGGTGCCTACCATATTGTTATAAAGCTGTGGTCCTAACTTTGACTTTAAAGTTTCTAGTTCCGATTCGTAACCTTTTATGACTTCTTCTAATGTTTTGTCTTGCTCTATCATGCGTTTTGGAGCAGAAATTTCAAACTGGTCAGATTGCGCTTCAGAGCCGCTGGTAAACGGAGTAGGTTTATTTGCATCCATATAAAGCTTGCTCTTTTCTTCTTCGTGCATCCCCTCACGTTCGAAGTTAATCTTTTCATCCGAAACACTAGGCTCTTTGGCTTTATCGCTAGATTCAGCTGATGGTGAAGCGTCATCCTTAGATCTTTTATCTGGAGTGTCATAGACTCCTTTATACGGCATAGTTTCGCTCTGTTTGGTTTTTTGGCTTTCTTGGATAGTATTACCTGGTATTRCTACTGCTTTGCCAGAAGAGCCTGGCTGTATCTGGCCTTCAAAAGCGTTGGGCTTCTTTTCAGAAAACAGTAGTTGTGTATTGGTCTTTCTTCCAGCATCTAATATTTTACCGTATAACTCTGGACCAAGTCTTGATTTAAGGATATCTAGATCGCTTTCGTAACCTTCAACGATTTCAGCAAGTGTGTTATTTTCCTCGACCATTCTTGTCGGTGCAACGAGTGAAAGCTTTTTTGCTTTTACCTCAGTGCCTTCCTTCTGTTGTACTACTGATGCTCGACCTTTCTCTTTTCCAACATCTGCTTCAGAAGTCATATTATCCTCTGCGGATATTGGTCCTGTTTCTTTGAATTCAGTGGTTAGTCCTTTGCTAGTTGCAGAACATTGCGCTCGATTCAGGTCATCAAATTCTTGTGCTTCTTTGCTTCTTTGTAGGTCATCGTCCCGAGTTCCAAACGATGGTAAGTTCTCTCGCTCATCCTTTGATTCAAAAACAGCTTTGTCACTAGGGTATCTTTCTTGTAATGCAACGACGTCACATGAACCCCCAGAATATGAAACTTGCCGCGCTTCTTCAGGACTTGCTTCAGATTTGCCTAGTGCATCTTCTGCATTAGTCATTTTTCCTGCATCTATTATTTTGCCATATAACTCTGGACCAAGTCTAGATTGTAGGATATCCARATCGTTTTCGTAACCTTCAACGATTTCAGCAAGTGTGTTATTTTCCTCGACCATTCTTGTCGGTGCAACGAGTGAAAGCTTTTTTGCTTTTACCTTTCTGCCTTCCTTCTGTTGTACTACTGTTGTTGGATCTTTCCCTTTTCTAACATCTGCTTCAGATGTACTGTTATCCTCTGCGGGTATGGCTCCTGTTTCTTTGA